TTTGCGTTGTTATTTCATTTCGCTTTGTAACATAGCACATTATGGTTAACTATAGTTTACTATAGTATTTTTGTTAGGGCCATGCTGAAGGAAAAAAGTGAAACTTAATTCTATCAGTGCACATTAAATCTGTTTTAAACTCAACAAATAAAAAGTATACATGTTTTCTTTATTTCCTTTTGAAATTAAACATTTTACCAATTTCTTTACACAAGATGAATTATTTTTAGATTAATAAAACCTTCATCTGCATACAATACAATGACAAATGTCAAATCATCTTTTCGGATTTTTGTAAAGGTTTTTGAGGTCAACATATTAATATTTTAATGAGAATAACTACAAAAAAAGGCAAACAGATTTGGGACAAGGTAATATAGACTATGATAAGCAATGTATTGAGGCATTGGTTTAAATATTTACTTTCTAAGTATACAATTTGAAAATCATTCAATCAACACATAGGATATAACCGCGCAAAAACTGATTTTGTAAAAAACAACCATGAACGTCGTAATTACATAATTAAGATCATTGTAAAATTTGAAATTGACCTCTGCAGATTTTAAAATATCAAACTTGTTTCCTCCATCAGTTGTTATTTTCATTTTTATTTATTTATTTATTTTTTGTATCAATGTTCTGTATGTAATATTCCTTTTTTTTATTTGACCACAACCATTACACTCAAAATAAGTTATCATTTTCACCTGGGACATAAATTTCTTTTTTGTTTAGTACTCATATGTGAGGCTAATGTCACCTTCTTCATTTTATATTTGTACCTTCCTTCTAAAATTAAGTCGTAATCTCAATAAATATCTTTGTGTATTTAAGAAATGAATATATATTAATTGCAAAGGACATGCCCATATTATTTGCAAAGAATATTTATTGTATGAAAACCAAGGACACGATAAGAAAAGATAAACTTATGATTTTACTTATGGTTATTTTCTGCATCATACTCGTATTCAGAGAATGTGACCTTTTTTTTTTTTTTAAATTCCTATTTCTTTTCTCTTAAAAGTACGATATTCAAAGAAAAAGGAGGTAAATTTGAAATGTTAGAATATATATATATATACATATATATATATATATATATATATATATATATATATATATATATATATATATATATATATATATATATATATATATATATATATATATATATATATATATATATATATAAAGTAGTTAAAAGATGATGTCACACAGTAAAAATAATCATAAAAGAAAAAGAAAATGCACAGTTTCCATATTTCATTTAACACAAACGCTTTCTGGATTTAGCAATCCTTCTTCAGGTGTACATACTTTGAACAAATCCAGAAAGCGCTTGTGTTAAATGAAATTTGGAAACTGTGCATTTTCTTTTTCTTTTATGATTATATATATATATATATATATATATATATATATATATATATATATATATATATATATATATATATATATATATATATATATATATATATATATATATACTTGACATAATTGCTAACCTTATTCAAATCTGTTCTTTTATGAATTTAAGAGCCATTCTCTGTAATGACTTGAACTTTTATATAGGAGCTGTGGCACGCATAGTTTCAGAATTTCTCCAAACTCTCTATGATAAAAGTCTTTGATACCGTAAACTCAAATCAGGCAAAAATTGGTTGCTACGTGTCATGGTTACCATAGCAACATGTCCTTAAGTTTGAAAAATGGCATTTTTCAACATCTTCAGAGTCCCACAGTTAACGTTTGCAGCAAAGCAAACAAGTGGCAATGACTGTTTCTGAAAGTTGAAGGCCTGGTGTCTTGAATGCATGATAAACATGTTTGGTAAATCATCTATAACATACGTTACCATGGAAACAAAGTATTCAAAAGTAATAATTTTGTTCATTTAATTTTATAAAGTCATACACTTAAGAATAAAAACAATTATAGGTTGAAATGCAGTCAAATAATAGAGAAGAGATCATTGTAACATATACCAAGGACAATATATGATATTTCTTATAGGTTGGCAATGGTTGCCATGGTTTTAATACCACAAGGGATTTTAAATTTACTCTCTTAGTGTATTAATCTTATCCTATCTTTTTAAAAAGCATATTTCTATATAACTGATGATCAATTTTTAAAGGCCTTGGTGTGACCCTAATTTTCACATTTCAAAAAATTCAATTTCAATTCTTTAAATAGTGCGTTGCTATGGATATAAGGCGAAAAAACATGCGTAAAAATCTGAAAAATACTCTGTTTCCTTGGATACGTACCGTTGTAAGTAGATTCCCAAAACTTTAATGATTGATATATGTGAACAACTAACCTGACTTTCAATTTTGACTATCACCCAATCTCTAACTGGATGCAAAAAGCTGGCACATAGGGTCTAATATTGACAAAAAATTAACAAAATCGGACATTTTCTCTTCTTGGTAACCATAGCAACAGTGTTGTATTTTCCAACAACCTTTATCAATATATGATATTCAACTTTAGTTCTACGAGATATGTATTATTCAAGGTGATTCAAATAATATTTTTCTTGATTAAAAGGTTAGTAAATTCCTAAAGCAGCAAAAAAATATCACTTTAAACAACTAGTACGTTGTTTCCATGGTTACACTGCAAAGTAACAATTAATCTCAATTTTTCTTATGTTGTCGGTGTTGCAAGGTCCTAAAGATGCATATGTGCCAGTCGTGAATTTTATTGTTTTTCCTCACGATAGTAGCATTAACCCAATCATAGCAACAGATTTTGCATGGTAACACTGTGTTACCATGGCAACCAGGAAAGTTATTTTTAGAATAATATTGCCAATACCTAATTACATGAGGTCAAATATTTTTCATTGTTTTTCTAACGTTGTTGATTGAGTTTGATCATGTAACATCTATCATTTGTGGCTATAGAGCGTTTTTCAGCATTTAAAATGTATTCCAAATGTACCCATGGTTACCACTTACTTAGAGATAAATTCTAAATAGTTTCTTTATAGCATAAGTGGCAACAAGGTGTCATGTTTTTGGGAGAATGGTTTGTTTGTTTTTCTTAGTCTTTATTAAGGCTTAATAAAGATTTAAAGTAGCTGAAAATCTCAATTTTTTCAACTTTTCTGGCTGTTACCATGGCAACCAAGACACATAGCAACGAAATTTTATTTGATATATGTTTCTGGTGTCAAGTTGTAATAATGGGCAAAGTTTCATCAAAATCGGTGACCATGCGTGCCAAAGAAGTTTAAGTGGTTACAGAGAATCGCTATTAATGTTTTAATATGTTACTATAGCTAAAAGTAAGACATCTTTAAATGTCCAAATTGATTGATGAATGCAGTATTAGATGAAGTGTAACGATTTCTTACAAATGCATGAAAATCGTGCTCACGCTTTATGGAGAAAGTTTTAAATTTACCGTTCATTTGTGTTTTTTTTTATTTGTTATGTCCCCGTAATCGAAGATTCGGGGGCATATAGTTTTTGCCCTGTCCGTTTGTCAAAAAAAAAACTTTAACCTCGGCCATAACTTTTGATTGGTTGCAGCTATGGGTTTCATAATATACCTGTGTATTCCTTGTGACAAGATTTTCCTTTGCGTATCAACGTATTTCACCTCATCTTTACTTGAATTTTGACCCACTTTTGCAATTTTACCACACTTTAACCTTGGTCATAACTTTTGAATTGTTGGTCGTAGGGCTTTCATACTTCATATGTGTATTCCTTTTGGAAAGACCTTTCACAGGGTACAAATATTTTTTACCTCTTGACCTTGACTCTGGAGTTTATCCCACTTTACAAAAAATTAAACCTTGGCCATAACTTTTTAACACGTGGTACTAGGGCTTTATATTTCACAGGTTTATTAGTGAGATCTTCCTTTGGGTACAGATATCTTTGACCTCATGACCTTAACCTTGAAGTTTGACCTACTTTTCAAAAACTTTAACCTTGGCCATAACTTTTGAACGATTGGTACTAGGGCTTTCATATTTCACAGGTGCATTTATGGCGACAAGACCTTCACTTGGGTACCAACAATTTTGACCCTTTGACCTTTGCCTTTGAGACTGAATTACTTTTGAAAAACTTTAACCTTAGCTATAACTTTTAAACAATCGATGCTAAGGTTTTCATATTTCACAGGTGTATTACTTGTGACAAGACCTTCCCTTTGGTACCAACGATTTTGATTTGTTTACTTTGACCTCGGGCGTTTGACGTGCATTTGAGAGACTTTAACATTTGCCATAAGTTGCCATACGGGGTGCATTTGTGTTTCACAAACATATTTTGTTCTTTATGTTTTCATAAAAAAGAAACGAAGAAAAAATGACACCCTATGCCGTATTTGACCATAGAAGAACTCCGAAGGACTGTTACTATGATCTCTCTGCAGGGTTTTCATTTGAAAGTTTGCAAAATACGAGTAAATAACAAAAGTTTATATTTTTTTGTTTGTTCTAATTAAGACAAATAAATATGGATACGTCTTCTATGGTTGACATGACATGCAATATACTCTTAAAATTACTGCAAGATTGCAACGTAAATCTGTGGAAAGCGGAAGTGTGGTACCAAAAAAAGTAGACAATCGGCATCAAAAACTCGTTTGCAGGCAAGAAGTCTACTGTTGACACCAGGACATCGGCAAATCCAACTGGATAGGACAAGACGGCATGTTAGATTTACTAGTACACGTTCCAATAAGGCAAATGTTCTGTTTACATATGAGAATTTTAAGAATGTGTTTGTGAGGGAGGGTGTGTGTGCGTGTAAACTAAAAATAAAAAAGAAACCTATATTAATTTTCCTTTGACAGTGAAAAAAAAAACCTTTTTGTATTATATAGAGCATACCACACTGAACATCAGTGAATTACTTGTCATGAGAGACTTTTTTACAATGAGGAAAATTAAAAAGTTATGTCAAAACATGGTGTTTTTTACTAATATACCTCTGTCATTATATAAAAAAAGAGAGGATAAGATCACGTTCTTTTGTATAGAATTTTATTTAAAGAATACCAACATCAAAGATGTCATTCTTTCTGAATATGTACACTATTTAATTGGTCGATGAAAGACATGCAGGCTAATTAATCTTCCACAGAGTATAATTACATAATCAACATGATTAAGAAACAATCTTAGCGAACTCTGCATATTAATTAAACTGTCTTAAAAACGGGAAATTTGTTTAGCACATGCCAGTACGATGAAAAGATAAATTGGGGTGACAACTTGTCAGTTTCTTGAAATTATTATTCCACAACCACAGAGTTTATAGGTGTTAATAAACTCCAGGTTTAGTATGATTAAACTGCCATGTAATACTACAAATAATTCCTATCAAGTTAACAGAGAAATTGTGCATTTTGTGCAATGATTATTTTTATAGAAATAATTATCATAATGCCACATTATCGACATCTTTTCAAGGTGATCGATTACATCCTTTTGTACGTATGCAAGGCAGGGGTTAAATTTGTTAAATATCTATACATGACATAAACAATAACATACACAATAACATAAAATGTAAATGGAATATTATTGTATACCTTTTAACCACATATCGTGGGAAAAAAACAAAACCTTACCATTGCCATCCACATATGTTTTAGAGGATTTCACACAGAAAATTATATTAACAAATATACACTAAAGGACGGGATATGTAATGAATTAAAAATTGACCAGAAATTGTCAATGTGTTTTGACAAAAGCAAAAACAATGGAAAGAACAAAACACATGACTGAAATAAAGTTGGTGGGTCCAGCGCTGAGTGTTTGTGGTGTTGGTTTGGGTATTGTTGAGGGGCAAGACGCTGACCAGCCTGTATTCTCTTCTTTGTTTTGTTCTTTAAGCCACTTCAAGAGTGGGTCAAAGTAGCTCACGAGAGGTTTAGCACTCATAGTTCTTTGTCCTGTTATGGCTTCCATGGCATCCTGCCATACTTTAGATGATCCCAACTGAAGCATCTCTCTGTTATAAAGTAAACGTATGTATAATTCTGATTTTCCATTAATTGAATTTGAACAATGTAAGGTTTCCAATAGTATACTTTTTAAAGTATTAATACCTCAACTTGTCACCAGCTTTTGTGTTATTATATATGTCACATCTGTGTAAAGGTCTTGTATTTCCAGCTTCCTTGCACAGCGCTTCATGCCATTGAAACTGTACAACAAAGCTCACAAAATACCTATCAACAGACTTTAGTATAAGATAATATGCAACTGAAAATTATAACGTTAATAATAAAATTGAGATAAACACTGCTACTAACTAGAAAATGGGTTTGAAGTGTTTATTTCTGTCGCTTAGACACATTTCGTGGTTTGAAGAAACCCATAAATTCATGCACCAAATGTTATAAATTTAATCTACAGTATAAAAATTGTCTACCATTACTACTTGCATTTCCTCCACCACGAAATCAAATCCCCACGACCCATTATTTTTCCCTAATCGCAAAAAAATTGACCCCTTGAAAATTAGTGATTTTACATGTATGCAAAAGTAAATAACTCATTTTTCTAACCTAATGTATGGTGTGTTTCCAGGGATATGGTATTTTGCTCCTGGATCGAAATCATCCTCTGTTCTTTCAACTGGTGGCGAAATCCCCTGGAACCTACATCTGTTGAGGAGATAAATAACTGGTACAATATATTTGGTCTTAATTATGTTAAGTTTATGTAGGAACACTAAAAACGAAAAGGTGTAGGTGAGTCCGTCGTATGTACAGCTGTATTAATCATATTAAAGAAGTAGTGATACATTTTGTTGAGAAAAATCACACAGAAGTCGATTATGATCAAGAATAAAAGTTCTCCTGGTTTCTATGAATCTGATGTGAAATACTATATCAAATGTAAATACCTGAGATCCCACCAATGCTGATTGTAGTTAGAGGAGTTGGTGTCTCCACGGAAAACACTCCACCTCCATTGATCAATTAAATAACCAAAGGGAAGAAAGGCAACCTTGTCCAACGCCATTTTTAGAAGAAAATTAATGTCACTATCTGTAGTTTACAATTGCATTTAGTTACATTAAACGAATTTAAATGGATTTTTGATTAAGAAGTTAACTAATGGACTAGATAAATATATAATCCAGTTCAATAAAATACACATTAACATTTTCTAAAATAAGTACCGATGTATGAAAAAAATGAATTAACTCTCACTTAATAAAACTGTCTGAAGTCGTAATGTAAGGAAAAAGTTTTCTTGATAATAAATTAGTTACTTGATTATTACTTGGTTTCATATAGATTTAAATGGAACCAATTGTCAAGTCAATTTACTTACATACGGCAAAGAAATAAATTTTCTTTTACCTTGATCATTCGGAACTTCGTCCAAAAGACCTATCACTTTCATGTGTTCTGGAGTTTGAAAGGACAAACTGACAATGTCAGCCATTCCTTCATGAAAACCTGAAAATAAAAATAAAGACATGTGATAGCTGTAAAATTTTTCCAATGGCTTATGAAATTAACAGTAAATATTTTAATAAAAAAAAAATAGTAGGAAAAAATAATTTTCCGGTAGAATAATTTTAAAATACACGCAGAAAGCATACAAATCAGACCAAGGAATCACCAGTAGCAATCAGCCTTAAAATCAACATGATCAACATTCCTAGTTAGAAGAAGGCAGTTTTGTGCTTACCAGAATAAAACCATTCAAATTTTTAAAACGTCAAATAATCTTTTTGCAAGTGTAAATATCAGCGAAATCAATTTTGATATTTGTATTTCAAGATAAAAAAGATATGCTCTTAAGCATAAAACCTAAGGAAAGAGTCGTTTCCGATTTTTAAAAAAAAAAAAAAAAAAAAAAAAAAAAAAAAAAAAAAAAAAAAAGGGGGCTTACAAGCATAGCACTTGAGAAAAAAGATTGGCAGAAGAAATTTAACCTCAAGCATTTCACTGAAAAAGCTTTTAAACAGATACTCCATTGCGCTATTACATCAAACTAAAACATCATATTTGGGGGATATCTTACATGGCCTCTAGTCCACCATTAGTTCAATGCAACGAGGACAGAAAATTCAAGATTTTAAAAATTAATAATCTAAATTTATCACTTAAATTCGGTTTCAAATTAAGCATGGCGATTTTTATTTCATATTGTGCGAACGGTGACATGTATAACGAAACTCTTATTTTTCAGTAAGGTATATTGTTACCATTAAATAATTCAGCAACACCTAATACAAATAACATCTTTACACTAAATAAATTACAGAAGAGGCCGGAACTTTTTAAGTTGTTCAGATATTGGTCAAAACATGCAGCCCTTGGAACATGAGACAAAATATACATGTAGTTGCTGTGATCTATTCCCCTAAAAAGTATACCAGGATTTGCTCCTCCTCGGAATAACCTTGGCTGTTGTCGGTAGTTTTGGAAATACACTATATGTCCCATCTCGTGATGGACCGTCAACAGTTGGTCTTCTGTTACACTAGTACATTGCTTAATTCTGAAATAAAGTACGTTTCATCAAAGTTCGGTTACTGATATAAAGTGATGAGTACCGGGATTCGCTCCTCTCCTGAATAGCCTGGGTAAGTGTTTGTAATTCTGGTAGTACACAATGTGACCCATTTCGTGGTGCACTGTTAGTAGCTGATCTTCAGTGACTGAGGTACACTGCTTTATTCTGAAGTTTTAGATTAAATAATACATATACTGGAGATCTGAGATATAAAGAAAGGCATTTTTCACCTTACCCACTACTTTACTTCAAATATACATGTAAATAATTTCCTAAAAAATAAAATGGTTGATATAACAAAGTTTTCACACTTTGATGACATACAGATACATGTATTTCTAAATGTATGTATACTAACATGAACAAAAAGTTTGGGAATGCATTTAGTTATTATACCTGAAATCTTTACCATCGTAGAAGTCCCAGGCTGAAGCATGACAAACAACATCTCGATCTTCTGGTTTAACAAGCATGGAATTTTGCCAAAATTCATCTGTCATATCTTCCATTCCAATGGATTTGAAGAAATCTTCTGCCACTCGATACATGTGCGTTACATTGTAGTTCTACAATATAAAGTGAATTGCTCTCGTTTGTATTTTTCTCTTTCATTATTGTAAAACTTATGAAAGTAACATCTGGGTTGACTACTCAATTTTTATAGAAATTTTGGTTTGGCTTGTGCCCGATTCTGTCAAGCTGAAATGTCATTTATTGAAAGAGAAGAAAAGATATGAAATTTTATAAAAGAATTAAATCCATCCATTTTATCATTGAAATGACTTAGATGATTCAACATAAGGCCCTCTTAGAACAGATTTGAAACTCCTAAATTCACTCCTCAATGGCATAAATAAAAAAAATGCGAGAAGTAGTTCATGAAAAAAAAAATTAAACAGTGGACTCTTTACAATGTGTACTAAATTTTCATATTTTTAGATGAAAAAGGAAGGAAAGATAACTCCGGATCATTATAAAAATGTTTAGCCTACCTGTTCCTTCATTTTGGCAGTAATGTCTACGGAACTTGCATCCGGAACCTGACTTTTTTTGAAAATCAAGGATTATATAGTTCGTTGGTTAAAATTTTCCTCTCCTCGTTAAAGCCAAAGGGGGTAACTTTTGGAACTTCCTGTCCAAATACGACTCGAACGATTTCGTCCAAAATGTGCTTACACGTAGTAGATATAGTCATGCATAAAATATACAAAGATAACGAAAATTAAACAACAGGAAATTTTGGGGTTGGGAGTGTTGTACATATTTAATATGTATTACAACGTCTACTCTATTTCCTGAGCCGCTCTTCATTGCAATACGATATAAAAAGCACCAAATAAATATATGTAACCTGAAATTCCATTTTCTCTATTTTTATCCAGATGGATATATAGCGTTTAAATTAAAACAGGAAATTTAGAATTTAAAGCTACATCTAATCTTTAACCTGGACACTGTATAACGAAAGTGTATTTTTGTTTACCGAATAGATGAGCAGGGATGTGACCACTTTCTGGAAACAGTTCCTTGCCGTATTTCTGCTTCAGACGTTTTCTAACGTAAGCGTGAAGTTCGATATATAGCGGTTCTAGTTCCTCAAACAGATTCCTTACGTCTTGTTCAAAGGTTGGCGTCTCGTACCACGATCTCCAGTACTCGCCTGTGTCGTTAAAGCCTTAGCAGTAAAATAAAACAAGTATGATCAATAATGTTTAATGTTTAAAATCCACAATATGCCCTCGAAGAGTGACAGGGGGCGTAGCTAGGCGTACGCTAATGCATCCACATAATTTTCCAATAATAATAAATTATGATAATAATGATAAATGATAATGAATAAATTAAAAAGACGAACATCTAAAATTGAAACTGATTTAAAAAATTAAAAAGAGAAAAGAAGACTTGCATTTTTCTTTGTATAAACGACAAATAAGTTCTCTCATCTTTTTATGTTAACATTATCTACATGTCATTCCCAATTTACATAGAAATACAATGTCCATAACTTGACAATGATTAAAATTACAAATTTACTGGGACTGGCCACATAATATGGATGAGATTCCCAGTTTTTCTTTTACTTTGTGTACTTGATACGCAGATGAATGATGCAAGAAAATACGCAGAATTGTAAAATTGTGCAATTCAAATATATTCTAAGAAAATAATATTCACATGAATGTATATATTGTAACTTGTAACAATATTTACCAGGGGTAGTTTACATTAAATTTACAATTACATAGGGCAGAAGGCACATCATTCTTAGATGAAAATCCTATCCCATCTGACATAAAACGGGGGATCCTTTTTCTACTTTATCAAAATTTTCAGGACGAAATCTGCACTTAAAGCATTGAAATTAAAGCTATTTATTGTAAATCAACTTTTCTGGACACTCAAACTTAGCGCTGTTAGAAAAGCTGAAAATTCGTCGGTTTCTGGGGGTTCCACCCCCCCCCCCCCGACCCCGCCAGTAGAATTTAGTGATAAAATCAGCAATGTGAAAGCTCAGACCAATTCCCTTTAATCTCCTTTTCTGGAAAATCAAACTTAGCTGTCAGAAAAGTTGAAAATTCACCAGCTTCCTGGCCCACACCAGGACTTCGCCTTTGACCTATTGGGTGCCTCAGGCAGTCCCCAACCCCTGCCTTTACTACATGTACATGTAGTATTTACTTTCACATCAAACACCCCCTAGCTACGCACCCGAAGACTGCCTTCTTTTTTCCCCAAAAACTGAATGAATGTGATCTTTGCACATTTCCTTCATGAATCTCATTAGCAAAAGTACTCCTTCTCTAAACATGTATTCCTCGATAAAAATATCTGTCTGTTGGACTAACCTTCATAAACTTTTTTAAAAAAAGTTGTTATGTTCAGTAGGTAAAATTAGACTTTGGAAAGTCCCGTCTTCCTGATCGATACATACGGCTTTTAAAAGGCGGGTGTGATCGGTGAACAGGGGATGCTTACTCCTCCTGGGTACCTGATTACATCTTATGCTTTGAATTGTTTGTTATTGTTTTTTTTTTTAGATCGATTACTGTTCGTTATCTTTATTTTTATCATTCAGGAATTTAGAAAGATACAGGGCTTAATTAATTCATTAACACTTTGTATATTTATTGATAAGAAACTGACATGCATAGGTAAAAAAGCCCATTTAGTTTCTTCAGTTTACTTATGATTTTAAAGGAACTATGTAGTGCAATAATTATTACAACAAAGAGCTCAAAGCTCGGTAGTACATGTACTAGAATTGGAAAAAGGGTTACATTTTAGATTTTTATTTATTTATTTATTTTGTTTTTGCATTTCACAGAGTAAAATTCCATTGTCTACAAACATTTTCACACATGTAATCTATCGAATCCATCACCATCATAATCTTAATTTAAAAGGGTTGTTTCTTTTTCTTTTTTTTCTTAACATTACTGGTGTTATTCTCTATGAATGTGATGTTTCAATTGTGATAGCTTCTTTCAGAGATAATTTTTTGTAAGAAAAAAAAAAACAACTCATGTTACGGTAAAAAAAAATATCAAATCCGTAGAGGCATGCTATCATTAGCAAACACTAACAATATTGCTCTTTCAAATAAAAAGTAGGCTAAACAACTTTATAAGAGTAACTCAAAATCTAGAATCTATGTTTTCAAGAATTTTTTTTTTTAAATCATCGCTCATTTTACAAATAATAATAATAAAAGAAATAATGATTATCGCGTAGATATTGATGGAAACGCCGTCCAATTTCAGTCAACATTAGGCTTACAAATTTGTCTTATTGAATAGTTATACGTTCAGTATAAAAAAATTATGTTAAATAGGTGTATATCTAGATTTCACTAATTATTATAAATACACACCGCTGAATTTAATGGCCGCATTCATGGCTTTTACAAACTCTGTGTACTTGGTCCTCATTTTCTTCCCTGACTGGTCCCGCCATCCCTTCCAAACCTCCAGTAACTCGTTATAGTCCCGACTGTTTGTGATAATATCCGTCAGGCCTGTCAAAAATTCCACATACATGTATATACCCAGGAGTTTTGATCCGTGTCACTTATTATGTGGTCTTTTTGGTACTGCAACGTATTATATATATATATATATATATATATATATATATATATATATATATATATATATATATATATATATATATATATATATATATATATAATTGAAGTCTTCAGATACCTGGTTCAAGTTGCAGGCACCCTTTTGATTCCAAGCACACCTCTCCTTTACTGTAAATTCCTGTGAGATCCGCCTCCAGGTTTGTTATCTGTGAAATACATGTATAAAATTCTTTTGAGAACAAATAAACCTCTCTCTCTCTCTCTCTCTCTCTCTCTCTCTCTCTCTCATGGTGCACTTTGTTAGGTTACCTGAATCATTCAGATTACCTCTGTTATCGCGCGACGTTTGTTTTCGGTCGTAAACTTTTCAATTTTTTCAGCGTCTTCACCGGAACGGCTGAAGCAATTTTAACCAATTTCGGTATTCAACATCTACGGGCAAAGGGAAACACATATTGTGAATGTCATGGCCTCCCTGGGGCATCAGGGTTGGGGCCAAATCAAATATTCATGAATCTTTACTTCTGCACATTTTTAGCATGATTAGAATAAGCAATACAGCCTTTAGAAATATGAATTGCCCATTGGCCCATGGGGTTTAAGCTCCAGAAGGTGCTAAGTTTGTCGCATATTGAAAATACATTGTATCTTATAAAATCTTGGAACGTCCCTACTCATTGGCATTTAGAAAGCAAACTATTGGAATGATTACAATAAGTTCTTTATTCTTTTTCAAAATTGTGAAATCCTTGGCCCCTGAATTCAGCGTTCAAGCCCAGTGTTGCTAAATAAGTTATATATTAAAAATTAAATACATCTTTAAAATAGTTTGCTTTCCTGAAGGAAATCTATCAGACAAACTGTTTCCATGGAAGGTCTCTACCTTTCACCAAAATTGTGAAATTCATGGCCCCCGATACCATGATTCAGGTGCTATAGGGTAAGGCTTTAGTTGGTCATATAGTGGAAATACATAACATTTTTTGAAAGTCTGTTTCTTTACACATGGATATTTAGGCAAGCAAATTACAGTATTGTAACTATTCCAGTGATGATAATGAACACTTGGCCCTATATCAAAACTGTGACACTCATTGCCCCTGGTCCATAGTTCAGTAGTTCAGGTCCAATGTTGGGCGAAGTTAGTCATATATTGGAAATATATTACCTTTGAAAATCTTCCTTGAGTATGCTCATGGACATCTACCTGACAAACTTTTTGCAAGGTCATAATTATATGTAAAACGTACCTTACTGCCCATGGGCAATGCATCAGGCCCAAGATGTGGCTTAATTGGTCAAATAGTTTAAAAAAGGACATTGCATCCTTGAAAATAAATTTCATAAAATTTACTCAAGGACATGAAGTATGCACAATTTTTGCATTATTATAATTAATACGTTGCCCTCAACAACTATAAAAACAAAAATAAAATGAAATTTGTCCCCTGATTCAGGATTAATTCTTGGGATTGGCTCAGTTGGGCATATATCGGAAATTTATTGAATATAGTATTTAACATGTGATAATGTGTATAAAGTCGTCACCAAACTGTGAAGTTTTTGCGACACAAGTCCAGAGATTTAGTTCCGTATGGGCAAAAAAGGCAATAGAGAGGTTAAGCATTTGACCGTGTGCGTCTACGTGTACGTGTAAACCTAGAAGTGTTTTAACAAGTACACGTAACTAACATCGTGTTCTGTTTAACATTCTGTACTTGTAGCGGTACGTGTAAAACGTCATTTCAACAAGTCACTTTACAATCCATTCGTATCAAATAATTTTATGACTTTGATTAAAAAAGATACATAGATGTACGTAATAAACTCTCAACATCACAACAAACACAGTCTGAAAAACATATATTCTATAATTTGTGTTTAAGAATCTACACGTTCTTTCCTACGTGTACATGTGAATCTACACGTTGTGTACAACTTGTAGAATTGCGCGCTATGCAAAACTGATGACGTAAATCGCAGTTAATTGGGGGATTTCCCTAGCTACACGTACACGTAGACGTACACGGTCATCTGCTTAACCTCTCTAATAGCTTGAGAAACTCATGATACTTGGGTAACCGTCAAAGCCCATGGGCCTCTTGTTTGTTTTTTATCTGCCCTTTATTTTTAAATTGTACCTGTATAAATAAAGTCACGTGCTCATTCACACTGCGTGCTCGAAAACCATCCCTGTCAACTCATCATTCTTTTAAAATAACAAGATTTTTTTCTCTCCCAAAACCATAAAAAGTCCCCAAAAACCTTTCAATCAAATCTTATTTTAGAAATTTACAAAAGATACACCTGTTTATTTCAGACATAGTACTAAACGAGTTCCGAGACCATGCTGAGAAAGGTTACGTTCAATTTTAACAAAGGTCGTAACATAAAGATGCTCGTCCCATGATTGTCATATCCATGACAGGTACAAGGTGTCATTTAATAAAATAAGGTTATTTCAGTGCATTTTCCTTGAAAAAAAAACAAACAAAACAAAAATGTAACTTAAAAACTATGGCGCAAAAGAACGTCCCCACTTAAAAAGACAACATAAATGTAGGATTATAAGGATAATAAAATCGTTAATCAAATACGTAAATAAGTGAGTTCTTGTGTTCATTTCCACAAATACTTCATCAGAAAACGTTTTATCAGTAAGATTTTTACAATGCGTTATAAATTATGTGATTTAGACTCAGAGTTCGATTAACAACGCTGAAAATACCTTGTGAAAATTTTATGTCCAGTATTCACATATACATACATGTATATATAATAAACTTGACTGGCATCTGTCCAGGGGAATTTAATGATTCTTTCCTAAAGTGCGCCTTAATCAAAGTTTACTCAATGTTTTCTAAAAAGTTTCTGATAAATAATTGCATACTTTTCATGAGTGAAAGGTCATGATGTCAACAACGTTTTTTTTATTCCAAAAAATTGAAATTAGATCGTTATCTTCTTTATCATATATGTACAAATTTAAAGCATATCATCTTCAAGTTCTAAGGGAAATACACTGCAATGTACGACAAAATTGTAAGTTTTAAAATTATATACTAATTTTTATTTCCCCTTATCTATTTTCTAAACTTGTTTAAACTTACACCCGCTTTCTAAAGAAAGTTGAAAATGACGCCCCCCCCCCCAAAAAAAAACCCCCTGGTTCTTAAAACTCCTTTTACATTTGACGCAGTAGCAAAATCATCTTTTTCGAAGATGATACGTGGTGTCCTGTACAATAAGGTTTTGGTTCTCAGGACCAAATGGGGGCCAAAAAGAATTTCTACAAAATTTGGTTCCCAGAACACTTTACATTTTATGCATTTTTCAAATCGTCTTTTGGAAGATGATACAACTGTATGTGGTGTTCTGAAGATGTGCAAAAAGATTTCGTAATTTAATTTTTGTTCTGGGGGCCAAGATTGAAAAATCGAAATTTCCCTTCAAAAACCTGGTTCCCGGACCCCCTCTTACATTTTACGCAGTAGCCAAATCATCTTTTGGAAAATGATCGGTGGTATCTCGAAGAAGCGCAGTAATGTTTCAGAATTACTATTTTCATCCCAGAAGACCAATGGGGGTCGAAAAACATTTTTTTCTCAAAAAAGCTAGTTCCCAGAACTCCTCTTATATTTGACGCAGTAATCGGATTCATCATTTGGAAGATGGTTGGTGTCAGATATTCTATAGATGTGCAATAAGGCTTCGGAATTCTCATTTCATCCCGAGGAACAAATGCGGATTTAAAAAATGACTTTAAAAAACTAGCTAGTTCACAGAGTTTTTCATAGTAACCGTTCATCTCTTGGAAGATGGTAGGAGACGTCCTGTAGATGTGCAACAACGTTTGGGAATTTTGCGGAATTTTACAATATGAGGTTTTTTTTTACATACATGTATCAGGTGTTACATCAAACGTTATAATTAATTTTAATTGAAGTGTGCTTACCGCTTTCATCTGTTCGCTGTCATTGGTTGCAGCAAAGCCAATACTAGTTATTTTCTTGAATAGTCGTTTAAGTGTTTCATTGATGAAATTCTGATGATCGAATCTACTGGCGTTTTCTGCTATCATTTTGTCAAATTCGGCAATCATAAGGCTTGAATTGCTCTGAAATAAAAAAAACTTTTTTCCTCAAACCTTGAATAGGCTACATTAATTTTCAAGACAACATAATTTAGTATGTTTGTATGGTCCTTTGACAACGTGTATTCCTGATATTTTGAAACAATGAGTTTAAAGCTAGAGGCCAAAAAGAAAAAAAATCAATTTATTCTGAACTGCGCTTGCATTTCCATGAGTTGTGCATAAATTACATAGAACGTTGTTCTGTCATCATTTGCGAAAAACAAAAAAGTCTTTTAAAAAAACTTTTAATGACATAAATAACAAATGCATTTGAAACCAATATATGAGTCACTGTGTATATGTTACGCCCTACATCAAACATTTCGTTAAAATTTCAATCATTTTTCCTATACTCTACAATTTCGCCTAGGTTTTTACAAATTAAGGTATTATTAACAGCGTTATATCATTAGCTAAATAAAAAAAATTTTAAAAAAAGACAAATTCAATCCAGAATCTGACATATTGTATTTAATTGTAAGCAACACCTACCATGACTTCAAGGTTGTAATCTGTGATATTTGTGTAATAATTCCAAGCCGCCTTTCCATTCTCATTCCACAGAACTCCAACCTTTCTGTCATACTCCTCAGCAAATACCTCAGCTTCAGCGGGCGTCTGTGTCTGTGCCCCCCGAAACAATACCCCCAGAACCAGAAACCTCCACATCATGCTCGGCAGATAACGTATCTGGTAGTAGTCCCTCTCACCTGCTTATCCAGGTGGGTCGCCACTGTCATAGATATGTTTACTGCTCTATGCATGCGTCGTAATTATTTATGGTTGTTTTTGTGTTCGTGCTATAATTCATTGGTAGTTAAATAGCCCTTAAATTGTCTTCAACTGACTATCAATGTGATCGCGTAGGTATCGTAAATACTAGTCGCTTACAAATTATCATTTTGTGAAAGTTCTTGCATAAATTATGTTCGTATATACTTAAAATGTTGATATTTGCTATGAAAGACGAGTAAAAAAAATATAGAAAGACCAGTGTGACAAATGAATGCATTATTTGTTCATGTACACTTACATTGTGTTTTTTTTTAATTGTAGACGAAGAGATGACAGATGCAAATCTTGCCTACAGCAGAGATTGTACTCAAGGATTTGTTATTTCTGAGATAAGTGTTTTGTCCGCATACCAACATATCTTATATATTTATGTTAAATAAATCATATTATTTAATGATCTATTTCATATTGTTAATATACATATACATATTTCTTTGTTACCCATGTACAACAAATGCATTATGATTGCACAGACGTGGGTCCATATTATCTTTAAGCTCTTATACTTGGTCATTATAATTTTATGGATATTTACGAGAACATAATTATTACTTTATGGTAGGCAAAATAAACAGTACCTCAGAGTGTATAGTAAAGAGAACCAAACTATGGACAAGGTGAAGTTTTGTCAACGAAAATACTTTATTTAAACCTCAATTTAGCAGAAGCGCATGAAATGTAAGTTTGAAAACCGTCTCTCTCAGACGCAGCGTGGCAGAAAGATGTATACACTGTCACTATTTTATTTACGAAAACAAAAAAAGGAAATTAAAACACACAAGTAAGATTAAAACCTCAAAACTTCTTATGTCCAATTCTAAAATTCTCCTACTTAAAGTGCTTTCAACAAACAGTATACGAGAAATTCGAGAACCGTTCGATAAGTAATGCAAAAGTTCATCAAAAATAAGAAGAGCACAAAAAAGTATCTTCATATATCTAATCCTTCAAAGCATTCCCTGTTAACATTTACACATGCCTCAAATCTCTTTACCTATAACCGGAACAAGTCAGCATATTCCTTTTTTGGCTAACCAATCGACAACATTCCCTAGGACAGATCAAAAACAGTATATCGTCGTCCTTTGATGGTTTTCTTGAGCATGCTCCGAGTACGATCAATTTATCAACTGAGGCAGGCTACTGACAGATAAGTTGATGTTACAGCGATTTCAACAACCTCGTTTTAAATCAGCATTTCGTAAATTCTATGGTCGTTAGGATGACCTTGTAAGCAAATATTTTTTTGCTTACAAGGTCATTCTAATAGAATCACTGGGTCGTAGTTTGGCTGACGTGTTTCATACCACTTGTTAGGCCTTTGTTTTTATACTGAAGTTCCGTCTACGTCATTAACACATAGGGCACACGACAAGTGTGACGACAACAGGAGATGGTCAATTGTGAACCCACATCTGGAATTTCTAGCGGTCCATGTTTTCTGCCCTCTTTACAGAATTGTATTGTTTATAGATTTTTTGGAGATCATTTCACTGTTCGTTATCTTCACCTTTTTTATTTAAATAAAAAATATCACAATGACTGAGATCTAGCAAATACGGAGGATGGCTAAGCTCTTGAAACGTTCCTTTCTTCAAATTTTCCTTTACATCTCTGTGTTTATTTACAGGGGTGTTATCACCTACAAGAAAATCGCAATGGGTATCGGTATGTGAACTTCTCTTGCAGAAAACCTGCTTTTTATCCTTCCTCAATACAATTTTAACATATTATGGGCCTTCCTTTGGGTATAGGTATAGGTATATGTATTACTGGATCTCTCGAGTAAAAGGAAAACCCGTATAAAACCTACTATAGCTGTTTGGAGCTATGGCCTCTCTTTGCAATAATAGGACGACAGCTCCTCTTCGTTTCCATCTTCCATTTGGGCAAGAAACAGTGCACCAATGTTTCATCACCCATCACACATACCTTCTTTTGTTAAAATGTTTATATTTTAACAGACCCATGGCGCATTTAACGCGTGTTTTCTTGCAGGCATCACAGGTACTTGTGGACGGGGGGGGGGGGGTCCACTAGTAACTGTGGCAGGCATCTGTAAGGAAATAATACACTCATTTGACAGAAATATTTATAATTCATTTCCTTCGTCAGACCTCAATCAACTGTTGTGACCATGCCCTTATAGGAACAGAAGGGGGGGGGGGGGGGGGGGGACGGGGAGCGCTGCCCCCCCCCTAATAATTTTGCCGATATATATATTTCTATAGAAAACATAACTACTATTTGCTTGTGCCCCCTCAATAAAAACGTCTGACGATCTTGAAAACCAGTTTAGACATTAGTTTGAGTAAAAACCAACGCCACTCTAGATGAAAGATTTATTCATATTATTGTTTAACAACAGACTTGTCAAAGTTTTTTTTCTCCTTTGTAGTACTTATACACAAGAGTGCAAATTTGGCGATTAAAATTTTAGCGGTCTACTTCAAAACCGCTAAAATAAGCCAAAAATAGCACTCCGCTAAAAAAATTCCGCTATACGGTAGTGCCCCCCCCCCCCCAACTGAAAATGTATGGCTGTGCCCCCCCCCCCCCCGGACTGAAATTCTTCCTACGGGCCTGGTGACGATGAAATGTTGAGTGTCTTAGCAATGTCTCTCGCGGTTAATCTGGCATTTTCAGATATAATTGTTCACAGCATTGATATTTTTGGTTCACTACAGATCTCAATGGACCAGTTCGACTGCGAACTTTTAAATCCCCCTTTCCACTTTTAAATTTTCTAATCCACCTGAACACCGGACTGCATGAAAGACTAGTTTTTCCAGATATTCATTTGGGTTCTTCAGCAATTTTTGTAATAAATCGCAGTTTTCACATAAGTCTTCTTTTTCATCTTCTTTGCACAGGCCCTTTTTAGATATAGTTTTAAGCTCAGTGGAGTGATCATGCATGCTTACTTAAAAAGAGGATTTCTTTGCAAAGACAATAGGAAAATAAAACATGCGGATTTCGGTGATTAGGAAATCTTAAATAGAGTTTTTCTTGTATGAAAAATTTAACGAACTGCTTCTACATTCAGTACATGTATATGATTTGTATTTGACAACGGAATTTTTTTTTACCTCTTTGGTGATTATTATTTCTATTGTACATTAATGATTTACCATATGCATTGTCTGTTGAACATTGTAATATTGATATATTTGCTGATGACACTACAATGCATTTTCATGGTAACAATATTTCACGTATTGAAACAACTCTTAATCATGACCTCTATCAAATACAAAACTGGTGTAAACAAAATCAGATGCTTTTGAATACCGATAAAACAAAGTGTATGTTAATGGGCACACAACAAAAGAAATCAAAATTAGAAAACACTAGTCTTCATTTACAACTTTCCGGTCATCCCCTTGAAAATGTGGAAATGCAGAAATTATTAGGTGTTCACATTGATCATACTCTTCAATATACTTGTCATGTAGATGCAGTTCGCAAAACTCTTACATATAAATTATTTACTTTACGAAAAATTAAAAAGTTTCTTCCACTGCATACTAGAAAACTATTTTATAACGCTTTTATTTTACCATCAATTTTATATTGTTTATCTATTTGGGGTAACTCTCCTCAAACGCACATCGACAGAATCTACAGACTTCAAAAACGTGCAGCAAGGATTATCTTAAATGAAAAATATGATGCACCTTCAATGCCTTTATTTAACACTTTAGGCTGGTTAACGGTTCATGAACTTCTATCTATACTTATAAATTAATAAATTTTGCAAATAAACTCCGAAACGGGTGCACCAGAGTTCATACTAACTCCTCCAAGAATACACTAGATACAAGATGATGTCCGTAAACTATATTTAGATTTCACTGGGATAGTTAGAATCGTACATTAAATTAAAAGTCTACCCTCATTTTCTATAAACAGCCATGAAATAGCAAAAACATGAGTACGGTGGTGTTTCCGGTTGGCGGATCTAAGTTACTGGCAATTTTTAATGACACTGACAACAAGCAATCGTTCATTTATTTCATAAAACGTCATCACTGAATTATTCAATCAAAACCTGATTTAAATGATATAAAAGAGATAAGTTGTGATACCCGATTAAAAAAGGAAATGTGCAAATTATTTTCGTCATTCACCGATATTAATATTGACGGAAGCTTCTAGAACATCATATAGCATCGAGCCCGATGTTAAAAAAAAAACGAGGCTATTATGCTTCATGAATATAAAAAAAGCTTTTGTGTAAATGGTCATTGAAATAATGGTAAATCATTGATAACACTATAAGTTTTGAATATATTTATATATCGAAAGACTAAAAACATATATGTAGTAGGTTTTCCTAATAAATTTATCGGTAAAATCCTCACTGAGAGCATCGTGGCAACGAACCCGAAGTACAATTTGTACTTCGTAATAAACTTGCTTACATGAAAAGAGAAAATTAATGAATAAGGTATTGTTCAAATACAATCAAAGCTGTAAACTTTTGTGCTTTAATACATTTCAGTTATTTTTCTGAATACAGTCCTTTGTATCAAATACTCGGCCTATTCATAGGGCGTTAAAAGCTAATTTTTACACAGGTACTTGAGTCTTGGTTTATAAATACGTATGTACCTTATTGATACATGTATGTAAAAAAGTAAAGTACATTTTTTACACATCGATAAGGTACGTACATATTTATAAAGCAAGGCCCAAGTACCAGTGAATTTTTACCCCCCCCCCCAAAAAAAAATCAATTTATAAGTAAAATGTGCATATTCGCTGCTTTTATCCTTGAGGGAAATGAAATAAGAGCATCTGAAGTACAATATCCATAACATAGTGTAACAGGTTTCACAATAAACGCCAATTAATGAAATTGTTTTTTTTCTTCAAATTTTCACAAATGGGAGGGGGGGGGGGGGGGCGTACA